GAGTGAGTGTGTGTGTGTGTGTTTGTGAGTGAGTGAGTGTGTGTGAGTGAGTGTGAGAGAGAGAGAGTGTGTGTGTGAGTGTGTGTGTGTGAGTGAGTGAGTGAGTGAGTGTGAGTGAGTGTGTGTGTGAGTGTATGTGAGAGTGAGTGTGAGTGAGTGAGCGAGTGTGTGTGTGTGTGTGAGAGAGTGACTGTGTGTGTTTTACCCTGTGTAGGCATCACACTGCTCATCTGATTCAGGAATCGAGAATACTCAGCATGAACCTGCCAGAGAATAAAACACACACACACATCACACTCAGTGATACTGCTAACTCAAACTACTCAAAGAAATGTTGCCTTAGCAACTAATAGAAATAAAATCAATTGAAGCTGAAACACTAAAATAAATAAACATTGAATAAAATTAAATAGAAATGAAAAACTACTAATAAAAAGACAAAAGCACCTAAAATGACTAAAACTGAAAAAAAAAAATAAAATAAAAAAAAAAAAAAATTATAAATACTATAATAATTAATAAACACTGTAATAGTTCACTATAATCACACTGACTACATCACAGACAGTGTTACTTCATTTGATGTATTTGGTTGCACTACTGCTATTTTAAATTGCCATAATTTGGCATTGTGTGCAGCAGCTAGACTGAAACGACTTCAGAAATACAGACACACAGCAGAATAAACTGATAACAGGCAGCGAGTGAGACGCTCTTACGGTCTGCAGCAGGTTTTCACACAGGGTTTTTGCAGCAGCAAGTCCTTCTGGTTTTGGGTGACTGGAGGAACAGAGAAACTCGTGAACACTGGTGAAGAACGCTGGTGGACATGTGTCACTCTGTGTGTGTGTGTGTGTGTGTGTGTGTGTGTGAGAGATCCGTACACGCACCTGATGTAGATGTACATGGGCTCGAAGGCCTCTCGTCCGGACGCGGGCTCCAGGCAGCCGGACCCCCGGCCCCGCAGGAAGACTTTGGCCCCGGTTTCGGCCTGAATGTGCTGCAGGAACGAGCTGCCGCGGCCCTCCACTCGCTCCTTCACACAGAAGCCCAGCACGGCCTGATCCAGACCCACAAACAGCTTATCCTGCACGTAATGCATCTGACACACACACAGACAGAGATACACACAAACACACACACACACACAAGGTAAGGCTGGTGTGAAGATGAGACACACGTGCATCACACTGATGTGAGTGTGTGTGTGTGTGTGTGTGTGTGTGTGTATACTCACTCCTCCTGGATAGTGTGGTTTGTGAGCAGCAGAGGGGATTGTGGGTGCAGGAGCGGGTCCAGGCTGCTGGTAAACGGTGACCGTCGCTCCGCTGTAGCTCGAGTTAGTGGCGGCCTTCACTACACCATTAGTAATGATCTCCTTGATCCTGTTAACAGCCTCTACACACACACACACACAGCGTGATGTTAAACACACACACACACAGAATCCTCAGAATGAAGTGAAGCGTCAGTCGCGTCACTCACTGTCCACTAAGTCTCTGGTTTGTCCCTGGACGTGCAGGTAGAGCGGACGGTCACTGCAGAAACATCACAGAGTGATGCATTAGTGTTCGTAGAGCTCAGAAAGCCTGATCATGAACTAAACAACAGAAACATGAATGTGATGACAGACCTGGGCAGCGTTCTGCTCTTCTCCTCTGCTGTCAGGTAGCGTCCTCTGGTGGACACGGCAGCACCGCTCACTCTGCTGATCTGTGTGGAAAACCATCAACACCTCACACATCAGGACAGAACACACACACACACACACACACACACACACTCAGACAGACATACTCACAGACACACACACACACACACACAGACTCACAGACACTCAGACACACACACAGACACTCTCACACACACAGACACACACACAGACAGACACTCACACACAGACAGACAGACTCACACACACACACACACACAGACACTCTCACACTCACACACACACACACACACAGACTCACACAGACACTCAGACACTCAGACACACACACAGACAGACACTCTCACACACAGACAGACACACACACTCTCACTCACACACACACAGGTCTGACCTCGTCTTGAGTCTGTCCGCGGGTCAGCAGATTCCGACAGGTGAGCGGAACGTCGTTAATCTCCACCTCGGCAACCACCAGATCATCTTTCACCTTATTACCACCAACACCTGCCACCTACACACACACACACACACACACACACACACACACACACGTACGTGTCCTGTGTGTAATTATTCATGCATGTTTCCTCCTCACATTCACACTGTCTGTTAGTCTTTGATTCTTCATTCATTCACATTGTTTGTTTTACCGTGCAGTGTTTCCACTGTTGTCACCGTCACCGTCACAGCAACAAATACATTTTTCATTAATTCAAATAAAGCTGAAATAAATATTAAATGAAAAACTTCAACTTAAAAAAATGGGAAATCAGAAATGTTGTCTTGCCTACTAAAACTGAAATAAAAATTCCTTAAAACTTAGTAATACAAATATTAAAAGCATGGCATTAAAATTCTAAATCATAAATTAACAAAAATAAAATCCAATTCAAAATGATAATAAATATTAGCATATATATATAATATGAACATAACACTGAACACACACGGGATACAAAGACCGAATACTGTACGAGCAAAAGCTTGGATGAGTGAATAATAATCAAACTGTCCACTAAACATGATCTGATGCACTTTCACCTCAGTGTAACAATTATCTTCAGAAGTGAAGAATATTAAACAAAATATCAATCATAAAAAATGAACCATGATTTGTGTGCCAGAGTGTAATGTGTGCAATCGATCGAAATACAGTTTCAACTTCAGCCTCCAACGATTATGAAAATACGGTAATCGAGATAAAGCGATTGATTTCACGTGCCAATCTGTAAAATCATAACGTGACTTTTGCAAAATGGCACGTGCTTGATTTATTAAAGTGTATTAGATTTATTCATGTTTTAAAAGCGTGAAATAGAACTATCTCTGCTCCTCAGGAGGATTTCTGTGCGTGCGCTCAGAGGACGAATAAAGTCAACTTATAGCTTAAGGTGCGTCTAAACGCTCAAATACACGCAAACACGAGTCAAAATGCGGCGCTTGGTGATTATTAAATCACGTAAACCCTCATCGGTTATGTAACAAGTGAACGTAACAGTTGAGAATACGTGTGTAACAGTAACTCTTAAAGTGACAGCAGCCTAATATTCCTGCGGTGTGCTTAATATTAACCAAACAACAACAGACTGAGCGAAATCTCTCTCTGCTCTCGACTGAAGAACTTGTGTAGCTTTAATAAGAAACAAAGAAAGTTTCATTCTTACAGTGAAGACTATGCGGTTTTATTTTACGTTTGATTACCGTATTGGCCCGAATATAAGACGACCCTGATTATAAGACGACCCCCCTTTTTCCAGATGTACCTTTTGGAAAAAGGCTTTTTAAAAACCAAATCTTGTTTTTTCTCAGTAAAACACATTTTGTCTTCAATTATTTTCATATTGCATATTTTTCCTATTTTAATTTTTGTCTTGAAAGTATGATAAAAACTGGTAAAATGTACCAACAATCACATTTAAAAAATATACACTTTTTGATATACCAT